TTAACAGTAGGGAGATTCTCATAAATGGGTCATGAGTCAACCATATAAGATAATATGACAACACCTTCAACCCAAAATCTTAAAACAATAAGTTACGAGTATTTCTCACTTATAAATTACTCAACTTTCTCATTTTCTATCAAATGTGGGACTTCAAACTTACATTTAAATTCTCAACATCATGATTTTTTGCAAAAGCACGGTGTATTTTTTTTTTGTGAATCTGATTTTCATAAAAGGAACCAACAAGAAATCTAAAAAATTAAAACTTTAGAGTATAATATGGATCCAAATGATGTAATATCATAGCATCACCCCTTAAGAGACGAAGAAGAAACTAATATTGGATCATCACAATATATTGTACTAAAGTTAACATTGAAGCCCTTAAACCTTGTAGTGAAGATAACAATGAAATGCTACGTGAACTTCTAGATGAACATAATATTAAAGCACTACATAAACCTTTCAATGAATATGTAACCAATTATTTGTTAGTTAGAAAATATTTATTAAATCATCTCACTAGAAATATTTTTAAACTTATTTATAAACCAAAGCTCTCTAATAAATTTAATATAATATAAGTCACTAACTATCTATCTAATCATAAATGGTCAAAAGCAAATAATTTTTTTTATGAATAAGTTATTTGTTATAGTTAATTCATAACAATTTGCAAAAAAATTTAGTTCATTAAGATAGAAGGCCCTTATGAATAAAATAATTTAAAGTAAGACTTGTGGTAAAAGCATATACCTCTAGACATATGAAGTTTACTATTTGTAGCCATTTATTTTTGTAGTAACAAATTGATGTTGTTTGAGTATTATTATCTTTAATAACAAATCTAAATCGATTATTAAACTAATTTGATGTAAGAAATCTTTTTTTACATAAGGAATTAACTAAAAAAATGTAAAGAAAATCTTTAAGTTGCGTAATATTCTCGAAGAATTCAATAAAAAAGTATAAATTAAAAAAATTAAATTATATGAGTTGACACAAACCCCACAAACATGATTTGAAATATTTACAAAAGCAATAACAATATTTGAATATTACCAAAGTAATTCATATCATACTTTATTTTAAAAAAAATGTAAGATTACTACACTTATTATATACTTATTATATACGTATAATATGATTCTTATATGAAATAATTTAAAGAAAAGTAAAGTATTATCAAAATATTTATCAACAGTAACAGACCAATATATATACGAAAGTGTATAGATACACCCTTTAATTTTATTAAAATTATTATTAAGTATCTAAATTTTTTTTATTTACTATCCTAATTTTATATATTTGAATCCGTTAACTGTTATTCTATGATAAAATATATTGAATTTTATGATTTTAATATTTATGTCTTTATCTTCGTATGCATTATACTAATTATTATTAATTTATATTATTTGAAAAATAAATTATATTCTCAATAATTTAAGGTCTTAGATTCGTCAGATTGATAAAGTTTGAAATTAAAGATTTTGATCATTTGAAATAAATTCTAAATATTAATTTAGATCCAAGAAAGAAATGTTGATGGAAACAATTAAAGTCAGATAAATAAAAGAAAAAGAAATAAAGGTGAGAGAAAACCATAATAATAGAAGAAAGAGAAAAAGAGAATATTAAGTATAACAAAGAGAATATTATGAAAAATAAAGAGAATATATTTTGAAATAATCAAATTAAAATATTATATTAGTTTTTTATGTTATAGTTATATATTTTATAAATATTTAAATTTATTTGATTTGTTAAATACAAATGTTTTGCCGAAAATAAGATTAAGAATATAATTGGTATACATATATCTTTACTTTACTTATTGTAACATAAGCATGGCATATAGAAAATAATTTAACTGTAACAAACGAAAATGACTTTATAGAAGAATCGAAAAAAGTAAAGAAAAAGAAAGCATCAATATTAAAACAAAGAACAAAGAATTAGATTCCATCCAAATTAAGTGTAAGATTAATACTTTTCCGTCATGTTTAGCGCGTGAAGAATCTTTGGGTTTGTGTATTTATATTATCCCTTACTACCCAATAATAATGCAGTTGTATGAAGTGGTCACACAGAGATATATATATATATAATAATATATTGTCTTTAGTTTCATCAGATCGAAGTTATTATAATAATCCATTGACATCGTTGAGTTGCAATTGCAGGTATATACGTGCATGTCTCCATCTATTTCTACGTAGGTTTTCAATATTTTGAACATGGAAGTGTTTGTATATGGCATGATAAGTGAGGCATGATGCATCTCTAAACCTATATATTTATTATGCAGATAAAAATATTTGATCAGTTGCAGTTTTTGAGTCTCCAATCATGGTAGAACCCAGGTGGAACGAAAGCAGACAAAACATGTATGTTGAGAAGGTAACCCAGTGGGTTAAACCTGACCCACAAAAAGAGAAAGGCTTACCTATAGAAAAAAAAAAGGGAGAGGGAAAAGGAAAAAAGAAACACCACTTCACTTCAATTCTGTGTTGTCTCAAAGGAGGTCATCAAGCCGAGTAACCAATTTCTTACTGTACTTTTGCTTCAAACAAAATTCCACTGTGTATGAAACCAGAAATAAATTTGGGGAGTAAAATTATTTATGAGTTTTGTTTCATTTTAAAAATTATAAATATTTATTATAACCATCATTATTAGAATATAATATGGTAGAATTAATTTAATTAATTATATTATGTAGTTACGTGAAATATAATAATAGATCAAAATATAATTTAATAAAATATAAGGAGTTATAGGTTATTACGAAAAATCATAATAAAATAAAATAAAAATTTATGATGATAATCAAAAATATTGATTAATAAAAAAGATTAGAATTTTGTCTCTAATTATAAAAAAGTAAATATTTTGGAAAAATAGTGACAGACAAAAGAAAAATAAAATAATATATTAAAAAAAGAAAATTAGAGAAGAAAGATATTGAAAATCGAATTTACATCGTATATCTCTCATAAAATAAATAAGGTTAGTCTGATTATAATAATTTATATATGTTATTGTGAGAATTATGAATATAAACTCTTATAAAATAGTTTTCTATAATGGATTAGTAATTTAAGAAAAATATAAATTAATTTTCATAATATACATAAAAAGATGTATTAAAGAAAAAGTAAAAAGGGAAAATGGAGATGTATAGATGTAATAAAAAGAGTAAAAAGATGAAATTATTAATAAAAGTTATATGTGGTTCAATAAATAGTAAAATATATTGAGAGAGAAATACCTACAAATTGAGCAAGATAACCTTTTATTACGGTAAAAAAGAAAATTTTGATGAAACTTGACTTCTCGGTAATTTCAAAATGTATAAACTACAAGAAAGGTTAAAGAGAAAATAATAAATCTCATAAATTGAACATACAAAATTTAAATGAATCAATTTATATTAAAAAATACTATTAATATAAAAACTTGTTAATAAAAATTTAATATAATACATAGACCATATATATTATAAATTATTTATTTCTTATTTCAAAATTTAATTATATTTATTTTAGAAAAAATCTATCAAGAGTCAAATGACTTGATAAATTCAAAATATTTTACAATATATTTCAAAATTTTGTTATGAATATTCTTTAGCAATATTAATTAAAAAGACTAAATTATATTTTAATACAAGAGAGAACCACTATGGGAATACTTAGATTTGATTATATATTATTTGTAAATCGATTTTAAAAAGTATTACTGTTTTTTTTTTACAATTATGGTAAAATAATATTTGTCATGATTTATATAATAATTACTGATAATTTTAAAATCACATCTGTTGTTTAATAGCTAAAGACATAAATTTAAGATTTAAAAGTTGGATTAAGATATAATTAAAATTTAATTGAATTCAATAAAATATTTTTTATGATATAATAATATAATAAATCTATAATATATTCATGAATAATAATAATTTTATTTAAAATAATTAATTATGAAAGTTATTTTTATAATAATTATAAATTATAGAATAAATTATTAATAATTCTAAAAATAAAATAAAATTATTGTTATTTTAAGTTGTCATAAAAAAATTATAAAAAATATCTTTTTTAAAATTATATTTAATTTTATTCAAATATTTTATAAGTTTTTCTGATTTATATTATTTCAATTAATTCTATTATTTGAAATCGATTCTCACAGAAATAGATTGGTCTCATCTGATTTTAAAAAAATGATAATTAAATTTATTTTTTTAACAATTAAGTTAAAAGATACAATTTTAAAATCAGTCATAAAATACTTTTTACATTATGATTAATGTAATAAAATATTCACTTTTATTTTTTATTGCAAGAACTTATTTTTATGACTTAAAAGATAAGTGTATGCATTAATTTGAAAGTGATAACTAAATTTAAAATATAGTTAAAAAATAAAATTGTGTATGATGAATGTTAGTTAGTTTTAAATTTAAGTGGAGAGTGATAGTTGTAATTTTAATTATGGATGAGAACAGTACATTAAGTACTAAGTAAGTAGTATATTTAGAAAGAATATGTTGGGCTTGGAGGTTTGGGCTTTTTTTCTATCCACAAATTCCAAAAGAAATTTCAATATGAAAATATGGGTTGCAACAAGGAAAAAACATTCAATGACCTTGCATCCTCTTCTTTCAATAATTCACGAACTAGGGCAACGTATCGCACTATATCAACGCATACGTAAGCGCAAAAGAAGCTCGAAAAATATAAAAACTAAGAAACAAATCATATCCATCCTAGTAAATCTCAAGTAATTTTTTCTTCTTAAAAAAAAAAGAAAAAGAAAACAAAACAACAGTCATATACATATATAATAAAAGTTATTATTATAATAAATAAATAGTTGCTAATATATGTTTGAAAATTTATGATCCTTTGCTAGTCTAATTTCCAATGTACCAACCAAAATAAGGAAAAATATAAATTAGTTCATTTAGAAACCAAAAAGATGTTTGATCATTTAGAAAGGGATAGAGATGGTGAAGCATTGGAGCTTGATGCAGGGGGTGATGGAGGAGAGCCATGTCGATTAGGAAGGTCACGTGCCACTGCTCGAACATCAGCACTCGTAGAAGTTGATGGAGGAGCACCCACGTATTGACGTGGGTCAATTGCCCTATGTTGCATGGCCCATGAACCTTGCCCCGTTGGATCAAAAAGTGAAGACAGATCATAGGTGGTGGCCGGCACCGCCGCTGCAGTGGCCGCTGGTAAGTCTGCCATTGAGAAACCTGGTGGTGCCGCCGCCGCCGCCACCGTTTGCGTCGGAGCAGGTGGTGGTTGGGGTAACTCCATTTGAGCAAGGTGGCCTTGAAGGTATGAGAGTTCTGCTTGTAAGCTCACCACCTATGTAGAACAAGCCAAAAAATATTACAACATTTTCACTCATTTATTTTTTGAAATTAAAATAATTTTTCGTGAATCATGATAAATTTTTTTGTCTACATCCTTCTTAGGTGAGAGAAATTTTGTATGATACGTTTGGCTAAAATAAAAAAACAGATTATGTTATTTTCAAACAAAATATTTATATAAATATTTTAAATTTCTACAACAGTTATAAATGAGATGATGTAGTGAAGAAAATAAAACTAAAGGAAATAATGCAAGTTCATGACATACAAGCTATACACTATTTTTATTTAATTTTGTTAGGTACGTATCTTAATTTTTTTTCTCTAAATATAATATGCTAAGGTTTTCTCTTTTTCATGTAAAAAATAATAATTTCCTTTTCATGTAACTTTTTGTTCAAATAGAAAAAATAGAGAAAGATAAAATATTTATAAATGAAATACGTAATTCTTTTCTCTCTCGATAATAATAATGTCGCATTCATAATTAATTAATTATTAATTATGAATAAAATAAAAGGTGAGGATCCCGAGAAGGTTTAAGAATAATTAAGGGACATATAATACAAGAATGATGAGTATGAACGCGGTAACTTTAAACAAACTTCTAGAAAATATATAAGCAAGAGTTTTGTACAAACGAAGTGACTTCAGAAAATAAACAAATAAACATGATTAAACTTGAAGCAAGAAAACAATATGCTTCTTTTTAAAATCAGAAATTGACAGGTTCTATCAACAACAATCTTAATGAAATCATTTCGATACTAATACATTAATAATAATGGCTAATATATATTAGAAGATAAATATTAGCTAAATATGTTAGAACAATCAAAATCCTTGATTTCTAATACGTCATAGTCACGTAACAATATATATGAGAAATGCAAAGAATATTTTCTTTTAACATTTTTTATGACTTAATTCTTATCCTATACGGTGTTAAGGTGAGATAAAAAGACAATACAGTACTAGATGGATTACTGCAAAAGGAACAAAAACTTCCTTCTACGAAACCATATTTTTCAGCCCTAGCATCTTAAATAATCAAAGAGTTAGTGTATTAATGTGTGATTTCAAAACTTAATAAAAGTTAAAAGAAAATTATATATATTAACATCTTGTCATTTACAATAACGTGAATTTGCCTTTTGAACAACATTATGAGCTTAGAATTTTTTTCTAACAAAAACTTGTCATATAATGTTGGATAATATATATTTGTGTTTTTTAAGTTCTCATGTCTTTCATTGGTTAAATTATTTCATTCTACTATATGTTTTTATGAGCTTATAAAACACAATCACAAAGAAAATGAGAGGGTAAAAATGGAGAGTTTTTATTAGCCCACTTATATGGAGACTATTAAGTGCTACGTGTGACTCAAAGATGGTTTTTCTTTAAAATAATTGTATTATTATACATTTTAGAGATCACAGCAATAGTTAAATAACACAAGCTAGAAATGGTGAAGAAAAGTTATATATTTTACTAAAGATGATTTTTTATTATACAAATAAATTAATTACATTGATAAGGATGAGTTTCTACAATTTTTTTTTTTTTTTTGTGAAGGTCATTTTATGAAAAGATAGAGACAGAAGGGTTTATTTTAATTTGGTGTTTCAAAATGCTTAATTGAACCCCTGAACTAACCGACCATCTCCCCAAAACCTGCAAGAACCAAGGAAAGTAATGGCCCATGCCATAGACTACCCATTTTGTAACAGCCGACCACATCATTTGTTAATCAAATAAGAGTTATGGATTTAATTGCAATGCTTAGAAACTGTCTCCCTTATTTCCATGGCTTCCAAGCCCTACCCTTATTTTCCTCCTTCCTCAAACCTCACTTTTGTTCCTCTTGCACAGAGCACAAATCACTAGCTAGTTCTACAATGTATGCTAATCTTTGTTATTGTTGTTCAACTTTAAAGATCGGAGGCACAATTTCCTTGTAGAAAAAGAAACAAAAATATATATTTACTTTTTAAGCATAGATGGGTTCCTTTTCCTATCAGTTTCATTAGAAACTGTAGCTAAACTGATTTCAATATAATAGTAATAAAAAAAAAATACTCATTTAATTCTTTCTTTTTCATTGTTTTGTGGCTACAAAAATGAGATTGAAAACCATGGAAGACTAATATGTGAACATCATAAAAAATGAGGCTTTCATCAGTTTTTACTTTATTGGCTAGCAAACAAACAAAATAAACTGGGACGTTACATGAGTCATATATAATGTGTAACTTTCAGTTTCTAGCAATTTTATATAAATTTAAAGCCTGAAAAAACTCAACACTCATAATCTGATAATTTTCTAATTTCTAACTATGATTTTCATTCTACGGTCAATAAAAAACGGAGGAAAAACCGTCTTGCATTGCAAGCATACCAGTTTCAGTGATTCACTTAGTGTAAGGAGAAAAAAAAATTGAAAACTGATAATTAAGGTACCCAAATTAAAATCAAACAATTAAACAATAATATAATGCACAGGCCAAGAACACACATCATCTTTATGTTAAGAAACAATGTTTAATCACAACTCTACCAAGAGTTATAATTATAATCAAAATCATTAGTTACCTGTTGCTGAAGGGCAAAAATGTGTGAAACACAGCCATAAACAGGATCTCTGAGGCGTGACTGTGCTTCATAACAAATGGTGATGACTGCATCAAGCCTCTTATGCATAGGAATGTTAAGTAGAAGCTTGGACACATTGCTAGCCCCAAAAACCTTATGGACCGCCGCAAAATGGGTTGTACCTTGCTCTGCATCAAAATACGGAGCAAAGATACAACCCGGAACACATTTCCTTCTAAGAAACTTGCAAGCCCCACAAGGGCTACCACTACCAGTATTGTTACCACTACCACCACTGCCGCTACCACCACTCATCTTTAACGATAATTATCACCGTTATTATTATTATCAGTAATGGATAAGGAAAAGATTATAAAGGGTATGGAATGATTAGGTTATGGAGTTAGGATTTTGTGAAAGTCATGGACTTTGTAAGGTGGAAAGAGGAAGAGAAGAAGGAGAAGGAGAAGGAGAAGAATGGTGGAGTGTTGTAGGGAAGAATTTAGCTAGGATACGTTTGGTGGGTCTAAGGAAATTTAATGAGAGGATTTAAGGGGAAAGAAGAAGTCTTAAAAGGCACGCGAGGGAACAAAGGCTTAACCTCCACATTTAGCTGTTTGCGTGAAGAAAATCATGAGGTGTAAGCTAGCTAGCTATGGCTTATTTGCTTACTATTACCTTCAAAATTGCTTCACTTTTTTCCTCTTCTGTCTTTGTTTCTCTCGTTTTCGTGAATCATTCAACACAAACGCATGCTCTCTCTCCAAAAACATATACCTTTGATCATGTGAGTGCAATGTGTTGGCAGAGGAAGCTTTGAATCTGGACCAAGAGATGATGTAATCATAAAAGAAGTTTTTGTAACCGAGCCAAAGCTAAAGTGAATAAATATTTTTGTTATTTATTATCACGCGTTTATAATATGATATACATGAGTGAGAGAGAGAGAGAGAGAGAACGTGTCAAGGGAAGGAAATGGATATGAATATTTTTGTCATTTTTGTTTGAAGCTACGTGGAGGAAAAGATTTCAAAATTTTTTTTATCGGTTTCTTAAGTTGAATCAAACAACATATTTTGTTGAAACTTGAAAGGGGTTGTATATATAAAACTCAAACTAAATAAAAATGGGATTAGATACTTATGATGAATGATTGGTGTGTGTAGTTAAGGAAATTGTACTAATTATTATATCTTTTTAAGGAAATTGCATTAGTTGTGTGTTAATTTTATGGTTAATTTGTTTTATTTTTACTTGGGTAAATTACACGACTCTTTGTTGCAAACTTGTGTTTGTCTTTTTGCAAACAAAATGCCAAAATGCTTAGACTTGGGAGTTATGGTAGTCAATTGGTATGAATGCTTTCTTTGTTCTCTTAATTAGGTTATTAATTCAGATTTGTTGGGTTGTGTGAGTAAGAGAAAGAGAGAGAATATTTTACATACCATGGTTGATATTGAAAAATAAAGGTCTTTTCTAGATAATTTATACGCGCAATTGTGAATGAATAAAAATTATATTTAATTATAATTTTGGTCCTATATTTTATAAAATATGTAACTTTCGTTTTATTTTTTTATTATAACTTTAGTCCCTTAATTATTAATTATACATACTTTGGTTTTTAAAAATTTTATTCATTTTTTTTTATTTGCACATAACATATTAAGATTGAAAATTAAGTTTTAATTTGACAGCAATTCAATATATTTTTTAAGCTAAACTATATAAAGTATGAAAAAATTAACTAAAAATTTACATTTCCAAATTAATGAAGACTTTATCAATGACAATTATTATTTTGTTTTATGGATGAAAGTTTATTTATTCCTGAAATGATCTCATGTCACGCATAATAATTATTTTTCTACATGTTATTCTGTGTATTTATTAAAACTTTAAATATCAGTGTCATTTATAATTACTTTACTTTTGGTAAAATATTATGTTAATATTAATACTCTTATTACAAAAATGGTTAATTTTTTTTATCATTCAGAAAAATAACAACAGAAACTACAGAAAAGATGAACCTAAAGAATCCATATAAAACAAAAGAAAAAGAGGTTGGGAGAAATTTCTCATAGCTACATTGCTTTTACTTCTTCTTTTTCTGAATGTATATGACAAATATTAAGGGTTAAGTAATTAATTAAGAACGAATTTGGTTAATGACAATGATAAATTTTAGGTAATAGTAATTTGTCTTAAATTTTAAAAATTATTTTTATTATTCATATTCTTTTTTTCCTTTTAATTAGGAATATTTTAGTAAAAATAATTAAAATATTTTAGTCTAGAAAATAATAATTAGGAGATTAACCAAAGAGTTTGTCAATACAACATCTCTCTTTTAAAAAATATTTTAGGCTACAAATAGCTAATACAAAATACATTATGAATAAATTTTATTAAAAACAAATGTTATCACTTTCACTTTTTCTCTTATAAATAATAATAATAAATTAAATAAATATCATTTTAAATTTAATATTATTATTATTACTATATAATAAAATAAATGTATTTTAGTTTAAACAATTATTTTATGTAATAAATTTAATATATTTTAAAATTATATTATTTTAATCTCTTTTATATCTAAATATAATATTTAGTGGTGATTTTTTTATCATCATAGATTTTATTTAAAGATAAAATTTATAAAATATGTAATTAACCTTTTTCCATATTTCATGAATAAAAAGATATTTAATTTTAAAATTAATTATAAATATTAAGTAAAATATAATTATTTAAATAAAAATATAATAAGTAAATTATTGTTTAAAAAAACAAAATAGCATACATGATTTTTAGTTATATTAGATAATCTATGTGTTACTTAATTAAATTATTTGTATAAAAAAATTGTTTTTGATATGAAATATTTTGTTAACTATATTAATAAATATTTTTAGCATTACAAACTCTACGTAAATAATAAAGACAATAAAAATTTAAATTTAAATTTTTTAATTAAATAGAAGATGAAGTATATATTTTAACATTATAAATAATATATTTTAAAAAAACATATTCAAATAAAAATTCGATTCATTAATTTAAACATGTATATACTTTATTTATTTGAGATTAGTTTATTATAATAAGTTAATTATTCATATTAAAAATATATTAAATATTTATAAATTAAATATATTTTTATTTAATAATATAATCTAATTATAATTATGTTGAGTAACAATGATTAGTTAAATTAGGTCATTTTAATAAAATATCTATAAAAAATTACTTTTAAATAAATATTTTTTAATAATTATAATATAATAATAATATTTTTAATTTATTATATAATATTTTTAAAATATAATATTTAAATTCTAGTCTTTTTAATAAATATTTTTATTTTTTTAAATAATAAATATTTATTTTATCAAATTTTAATATAATATTTTTATAATAAAAATTATATTTAATAGAAAATTTTCAGGTACATGTAAAATGTGATCAAGTTGCTTAACCAGTTTTTCTAAGTTTCTTTTTTTATGAACATTGATAGTGCTAGTCAGTTAAAGTAAGAAAAGGGAAGGCTACCATTTAAAGAAAGAAAATATAAACTTATATATTTGACCAGAAAATGGCATGAAATGAAAAAAAAAATAATACATAAATAAAATTAAATAATTATGAAAGTACAAAACTATCTCTACACTTATTTTGGAGAACACAAGGAAGATTTAATACTTTTCATTTAATTTTGATTTTATAATTTTAAAAATAATTTTAAGAAATCAATTTTTAAATTTATTTTAAAAAATATGTTTTAAAAAAAACTTTTTTCATAATTTTATTTTTAAAATATTTTAGATAAAAGAGAATAATGTATATATTATAAAAAGTCGTGATTAAAATTATTAAAATCAATTTTAAAAAGTTGTTTCTAAAAATAATTTATTTTTTTAATAATTATATATTATAAAAAGTCGTGATTAAAAATTAAAAAATAATTTTAGTATTTTTATCATGATAAGAATAAATTATCTAATAACTATTGATAAAAAAATATTGAAATCCATTATAAAAACAAAAACTAAAATAAATAAATACTTATCCATTTTTATTTTATAGTTTCTAAAATCTAAAAATTAAAAATTATTTTAACAAAACCATTATCACACAAATTTTTTAATTCTTTAAAAAAGTTTATTTTAAATCAGAAATTAAATAAATCCTTATTTACTTTATTTATTATTTTTTCCATGAAAAATTAAAACACGTATAATTGACTTAAAAAATATACTTATAACCATATTTATTAATGAATAATTTTTTTTGCTTCGCTAAAAATGTTATTTTAATAATAGCCTCACTTCTCAAAATAAATTCACTCCTTTTTTTCGTTAGAAATTATAAGAAGCTAATTCATATATAACTAGCTATTTATCTAGTTTTAAAAAATTATGTTGAAAATAATAATTAAAGATTTATTTATTATTTTTAGACTATTTTTATTTTTTTTAAATTAAAGAACATATTTCATAATTATTTTATTAAAATATTTTATTAATTTATTTTTAATTTTTGTAGTTTTTTAAAACTAAAGAAATTAAAGCTGAAAAATATATTTTTATTTTTCTATTTTATCAATATTATCCACTTTTTCACTCCTATTACCCAAATTTATTGTTATAAAATTATTAAATTATTTTTCAACTTTTATCGTATATTTTATTTTGTCTAAATATTTTTTAAATATTCAATAAACCATTATTTTCTAATTTATTTTAAAAAATATTTTTAAAATTATCTCTAAAATTATATTTAAGATTAAAAAATATTAAAAAAAGTGTCCTGAATGACTTTAAATATGATCTATTGAAATTAATTTACTTTTAAAAAATAAAATAAAAGAGTTTAACTTTATTATATTATTTAATAAATAAATTTCAGTTACATAAAATATAGCGTCAACTAGCTCTTTAACAGTTTTCCTTGTTAAAAAGATGAGTTTCTTTTATGAACATTTATCGTAGAAAACTGTTAAAAAAAATGAATATTGAAATTTAAAGAATGAAAAATGTAATAAGAGGTGTCAACTGATAAAATGAAAGGCTAAAATAAATTGTAATTTAGACTATTAAATAAAGAATTAAAATAGCCTAATTTTTAAGTAATAGAATTTAAAAATCATTATCAATTAGGATTAAAGGCTAACACTATTTAAAAAAGACTTTTCATCGGTCATAGATTCGGATAATGTATAAAATAATATATTTTATATAAGAACTCATTTTTGACAAAAGTAAAATTGTTTTTCCTAAATACAATACGCTAATGATAATATATTTATA